GAACACACGGTGGGTTGAACACACGGTGGGTTCAACTCACGGTGGGTTCAACTCACGGTGCGTTGAACACACGGTGGGTGGAACACATGGTGGGTTGAACACACGGTGGGTTGAACACACGGTGGGTTCAACTCACGGTGCGTTGAACACACGGTGGGTGGAACACATGGTGGCTTGAACACACGGTGGGTTGAACACACGGTGGGTTCAACACACGCTGCGTTCAACACACGGTGCGTTGAACACACGGTGGGTGGAACACACGGTGGGTTGAACACACTATAGGTTGAACATACAGTGGGCTGATCACACGGTGGGTTGAACACACGGTGGGTTCAACACACGGTGGGTTGAACCCACGGTGGGTGGAACACACGGTAGGTTGAACACAAGGTGGGTTGAACACACGGTAGGTTGAACACACGGTGGGTTGAACACATGGTGGGTTCAACACACGATGGGTTGAACAAACGGTGGGTTGAACCCACGGTGGGTTCAAAACATGGTGGGTTCAACACACGGTGCGTTGAACACACGGTGGGTGGAACACACGGTGGGTTGAACACACTATGGGTTGAACATACAGTGGGCTGATCACACGGTGGGTTGAACACACGGTGGGTTCAACACACGGTGGGTTGAACCCACGGTGGGTGGAACACACGGTAGGTTGAACACAAGGTGGGTTGAACACACGGTAGGTTGAACACACGGTGGGTTGAACACATGGTGGGTTCAACACACGGTGGGTTGAACACACGGTGGGTTGAACACACGGTGGGTTCAACACACAGTGCGTTGAACACACGGTGGGTGGAACACACGGTGGGTTGAACACAAGGTGGGTTGAACACACGGTGGGTTGATCAGAAGGTGGGTGGAACACACAGTAGGTTGAACACATGATAGGTTGAACATACGGTGGGTTGAACACACGGTGGGTTGAGCACACAGCGGGTTGAACACACGGTGGGTTCAACACACGATGCGTTGAACACACGGTGGGTGGAACACACGGTGGGTTGAACACACAGTGGGTTGAACACACGGTGGGTTCAACACACGGTGCTTTGAACACACGGTGGGTGGAACACACGGTGGGTTGAACACAAGGTGGGTTGAAAACACGGTAGGTTGAACACACGGTGGGTTGAACACAAGGTGGGTTGAACACACGGTGGGTTGAACAAACGGTGGGTTGAACACACGGTGCGTTGAACAAACGGTGGGTTTAACACACGGTGGGTTCAACACATGGTGCGTTGAACACACGGTGGGTTGAACACATGGTGGGTTGAACACACGGTGGGTTGATCACACGGTGGGTGGAACACATGGTGGGTTGAACACACGGTGGGTTGAACACACGATAAGTTGAACACACGGTGGGTTGAACACACGGTGGTTTGAACACACGGTGGGTTGAACACACGGTAGGTTGAACACACGATGGGTTGAACACACGGTGCGTTGAACACACGGTGGGTGGAGCACACGGTGGGTTGAACACACAGTGGGTTGAACACACGGTGGGTTGATCACACGGTGGGTGGTACACCAGTGGGTTGAACACACGGTTTAGGTTTTAACCCGCTGTGTGCTCAACCCATAGTGTGTTCAACCCGCTGTGTGCTCAACCCACCGTGTGTTCAACCCGCTGTGTGCTCAACCCACCGTGTGTTCAACCCACCGTGTGTTCAACCCTTCGTGTGTTCAACCTATCGTGTGTTCAACCTACCGTGTCTTCCACCCACCTTCTGATCAACCCACCGTGTGTTCAACCCACCATGTGTTCAACCCACCGTGTGTTCCACCCACCGTGTGTTCAACGCACTGTGTGTTGAACCCACCGTGTGTTCAACCCACCGTGTGTTCAACCCACCGTGTGTTCAACCCACCGTTTGTTCAACCCACCGTGTGTTGAACCCACCATGTGTTCAACCCACCGTGTGTTCAACCTACCGTGTGTTCAACCCACCTTGTGTTCAACCCACCGTGTGTTCCACCCACCGTGGGTTCAACACACCGAGTGTTGAACCCACCGTGTGTTCAACCCACCGTGTGATCAGCCCACCGTATGTTCAACCCATAGTGTGTTCAACCCACCGTGTGTTCCACCCACTGTGTGTTCAGCGCACCGTGTGTTGAACCCACCATGTTTTGGACCCACCGTGTGTTCAACCCACCGTGTGTTCAAGCCACCATGTGTTCCACCCACCGTGTGTTCTACGCACCGTGAGTTGAACCCACCGTGTGTTCAACCCACCGTGTGTTCAACCCACCATGTGTTCCACCCACTGTGTGTTCAACGCACCGTGAGTTGAACCCACCATGAGTTGAACCCACCTTGTGTTCAACCCACCGTGTGATCAACCCACCATGTGTTCAACCCACTGTGTGTCCAGCCCACCGTGTGTTCCACCCACTGTGTGTTCAACGCACCGTGTGTTCAACCCACCGTGTGTTCAACCCACCGTGTGTTCAACCCACCGTGTGTTCAACCGACCGTGTGTTCCACCAACCGTGGGTTCAACCCACCGTGTGTTGAACCCACCGTGTGTTCAACCCACCGTGTGATCAGCCCACCGTATGTTCAACCCACCGTGTGTTCAACCCACCGTGTGTTCCACCCACTGTGTGTTCAACGCACCGTGTGTTGAACCACCATGTGTTCCACCCACTGTGTGTTCAACCCACCGTGTGTTCAACCCACCATGTGTTCCACCCACCGTGTGTTCAACGCACCGTGAGTTGAACCCACCGTGTGTTGAACCCACCGTGTGTTCAACCCACCGTGTGTTCCACCCACCGTGTGATCAACCCACCGTGTGTTCAACCCACTGTGTGTTCAACCCACCGTGTGTTCCACCCACCGTGTGTTCCACCCACCGTGTGTTCAACGCACCGTGTGTTGAACCCACCATGTTTTGAACCCACCGTGTGTTCAACCCACCGTGTGTTCAAGCCACCATGTGTTCCACCCACCGTGTGTTCAACGCACCGTGGGTTGAACCCACTGTGAGTTGAACCCACCGTGTGTTCAACCCACCGTGTGTTCCACCCACCTTGTGATCAACCCACCGTGTGTTCAACCCACTGTGTGTTCAACCCACCGTGTGCTCCACCCACCGTGTGTTCAACGCACCGTGTGTTCAACCCACCGTGTGTTCAACCTACCGTGTGTTCAACCCACCGTGTGTTAAAAGCACCGTGTGTTCAACCCACCGTGTGTTCAACTTATCGTGTGTTCAACCCACAGTGTGTTCAACCCACCGTGTGTTCCACCGACCGTGTGATCAACCCACCATGTGTTCAACCTACCGTGTGTTCAACCCACCATGTGTTCAAACCACCGTGTGTTCAACCGACCGTGTGTTCAACCTATCGTGTGTTCAACCCACCGTGTGTTCAACCCACCGTGTGTTCCACCCACCATGTGATCAACCCACCGTGTGTTCAACCCACCTTGTGTTCAACCCACCGTGTGTTCAACCCACAGTGTGTTCAACCTATCATGTGTTCAACCCACCGTTTGTTCAACCCACCGTGTGTTCCACCCACCGTGTGATCAACCCACCGTGTGTTCAACCCACCGTGTGTTCAACCCACCGTATGTTTCACCCACCGTGTGTTCAAGGCATCGCGTGTTGAACCCACCGTGTCTTGAACCCACCGTGTGTTCAACCCACCGTGTGTTCAACCCACCGTATGTTCAATCCACCGTGTGTTCAACCTATCGTGTGTTCAACCCACCGTGTGTTCCACCCACCGTGTGATCAACCCACCGTGTGTTCAACCCACCATGTGTTCAACCCACCGTGTGTTCAACGCACCGTGTGTTGAACCCACCGTGTGTTCAACCCACCGTGTGTTCAACGCACCGTGTGTTCAACCCACCGTTTGTTCAACCCACCGTGTGTTCAACCCACCTTGTGTTCAACCCACCGTGTGTTCAACCTACAGTGTGTTCAACCCACCTTGTGTTCAACCCACCGTGTGTTCTACCCACCGTGTGTTCAACGCACCGTGTGTTGAACCCACCGTGTGTTCAACCCATTGTGTGATCAGCCCACCGTATGTTCAACCCACTGTATGTTCAACCCACCGTGTGTTCCACCCACCGTGTGTTCAACGCTCTGTGTGTTGAACCCACCATGTTTTGAACCCACCGTGTGTTCAACACACCGTGTGTTCAACCCACCATGTGTTCCACCCACTTTTGTTCAGGATCCGTCACTTTGAAAGCTTACGACGAACTCATTACTCAACTAAACGCAAATCCGCTCGGTAGGAAGTTGCGCCTTATACTTAGCTACCATCTCCAAGTTGAATCAGTCATTAAGATGGTCTATTGAGTGAGAACGAAGTAAAAAACGTCCAGCAGCCGTATGACTAGAATGGTGGAGGAAGTACAAGCATTAGGGCATGGAAAGTTGGAGTTGGGAACCTCCAAGAGAACCATGAGAGGGAAGGGGTTCTCCAAGAGCTAGGGAAGGATGGTAAGAACCTTCCTAGCTGCAAGGATGCAACCCTCATCATGAGGTCCTTGAGGTGTCACATGCAAAATCCAATCTAGTTGGATTTTGCCTAGGTGTTGCAACATTTGCAACCCATGCTAGAAACTTCTAGCCACCCCAATCCAAAAGTCAAAGTTGGCTTCCTAACCACCCAACCAAGGATCCCTTTATAGTCATGTCCCAAGTAATCACCCAAATTAGATATAACCCCAAAAAGGTAATAAGAAATCCAAATCTTGGAAATCTTGTAACTTGGGCGATCTTGGTCGGAATAAGGCGATCTTGGTATCGTTGGAAAGCTCTGGATTTCTCCTGCATGATCAAGCAGTTAGACTTGGAGAAAAACACAGAGATGATAATATCCAACAGCCATGCACAATGAAATACGCTCATGCAAATCATGCAAGCACAAATAGCACGAGCACTCGGCAGGACGTTAGGATGACATGCACTCAGAATGACGTGCATCCAACAAACTCCCCCTCAGACTAACGGACTGCATGCACACACACCCACACACATGCATAGTCTCATGCACACAATCACACATGCATTCATGACACTGCTGCCCACACTAGTGCAATGCCATGCCGCACATCTTAGCACACTTCCAATGTGCGCTCTCGGGAAGTCTCTTTGTGAGAAAATCTGCCGCTTGCTTGCTAGCCTTCACATGGTGAAGCTCAACAGCTCCCTCCTTCACCATCTGCCTCACCCAGTGCCACTTAATCTTCATGTGCTTGTTCAGCCCATTCAGGATAGGATTATTGGCCATGCCAATAGCAGCCTCGCTGTCGGAGAAAAGTGGTGTAGGTCCCTCCTGTTCAGCTCCCATGTCCTGCAGCAGCTTCCTCAGGAGCACGATCTCCTTGATGGCATGGTACATCGCCATGTACTCTGCCTCTCCGGAAGACTGAGCTATCTCACTCTGCTTCTTGGACCTCCAGCTCACTGGTCCACCTCCGACCATGCACACAAAGCCGCCAACCGATGATTGATCCTCATCCTCTGAGGCCCATGTGGCGTCGGTGAAGCACGACAGCTTCAAGGTACCAGGCGTGACCCCATCTGCTCCAATCTGTTTCAGCTGGCCGCCAGCTGAAAACTGAACACCAGCAAATGCCGTTGATCCAAGGTAGCGCACCAAGCGCTTTGCCACCTCCAACTGCTCCACAGTGGGCCGTTGCACAACTCTGGCCAGCTGCCCCACTCCGGATGAAGCATCAGGTCGCGTATGCACAGCTGCATACATCACACTCCCAATGAGTGACTGGTACTCATTCTGCTGCTCATCCTCAAGCACATCATCCTCCTCTGCTGCCTTCTTCAATTTGAAGCCTGCAGGGAACGGTGTCATCACAGTGCGACCCCCAGTCACACCATACCGCTCCATGACACCAGAGATGTAGTGTGACTGATGCACCTTCAGCCACCTCCTCTCAACATCCCTCTCAATCTGCAGCCCCAAGTAGTAGTGGACATCCCCCAGCATCTTGCACTTGAAGTTGTCCATCAGCAGCTTCTGTGTCCTCTCAATCTGCTCCATGGAAGGTGAGAACAGCAGTATGTCGTCGACATACACCAGCAGCAAAAGCAGCTGCTCCCCCTCTCCAAGGAGAAACAAGCTGTGATCCGCCTGGGACGTCTTGAAGCCTCCACCCAGCAGCACCTCCTCCAGCTTCTCGTACCAACACCTGGGCGCTTACTTAAGGCCATAGATGGCCTTCTTAAGCTTGCACACCCGGCTGGTCCCATCATCATAGTCGTCGGGCTGCGCCATGTAGATATCCTCCAGCAGTATTCCATTGAGGAATGCAGTGGTGATATCCATCTGCTTCACGTGCCATCCCTTCACAGCTGCGCCAGCCATCAAAGTCCTCAGTGTCAATGGCTTAGCAACGGGACCGAAGATCTCCCCAAAGTCGACCTTCTCCTTCTGCTGAAACCCCTTGGCGACCAAACGGCTCTTGAACCGCTCCAGCGCACCATCAGCACCACTCTTCACTTTGAAGACCCACTTGCTGCTGATCGGCCGTCGCCCCTCGGGTAACTCAACAAGCTCCCAAGTCCCATTCTCAATGAGACTGTTGAACTCTGCATCCATGGCAGCCCTCCACTCCTCTTTTTGGGGTCCACTGAGTGCCTCCTCCACTGTGGCTGGTTCTCCAAGCAAGGGTGTGAAGAAACAGAACGCCATCTCCTCATCCTCTCCCTCATCCGCCTGAACCGCCATGGCACCTTGCTTGGGTCCTCCCAAACGGCTATACTTCAGCCTTGAGGGTGCTGCTGCCACTCTCTTCTCACGGGTTGCAATCTGCTGCCCATGTGGTGAAGCTCCTTTCTGCACACTCCTCTTGGTGACCTTGGCGTTTGCACCAGGCTCGGGCTGAGAAGGTGAGTCCACACGTGCCGACTCATCCTCCAACCCCTCCTCCGCAGCAGGACCAGCGCCTTGCTGCTCACCACCGCCACTGTGATCACTGGTCAGCTCTGACCCAGGGAGATCCTCAAGGTGCAGCTGAACCTCCTCCACTGCAGACCGCTCAATCTCCTACAGACGCAAGCCAATCTGCACCTGCTGCTGCTGCTGCCAGTCCTTGTACATGACGTCCTCCACAAACTTGACGTCACGGCTGACCAGCGACTTCTTGCTCTTGGGGTCCCACATCAGCCACCCCTTTGAGTCAGCAGCCATCCCAAGATGGACAGCCCACACAGCATCAACTTCCAGCTTGTGCCTCTGCTCCTTAGGCACCATCACAAGCCCCATGCAGCCCCACACCCGCAGCATGTCAATAGATGGCTTCTTCCCAAGCCAACGCTCGTACGGCACCCAATGCTTGTCGCCAACATGAGTCAAGACCGTGTTCTTGACCGTGATGACATGGCGAACAGCTTCAGGCCAGAACTTGTAAGGCATCCCAGCAGCCCCCAACAAGGTCTTAGCCGCCTCGCCAATGGTCCGGTTGGCACGCTCAGCAATGCCGTTCTGCTGCGGTGTTCCAGGGCAGGTCAGCTGATGTCGAATGCCATTTCTCTTGAGGAACTTGGTGAATTCCGCTCCAAGGAACTCTCCACCTCGGTCGCTCCTCAGCACCTTCACCAGCCGCATCGCTTGCCGCTCCACCATCGGCAACCAATCCTCCTTGATTGCCGCTGCAGCATCGCTCTTCTTGGACAAGGGACGCGCCCACGTGAAACGGCTCCATTCGTCCACCATGGTGAGGAAGTAGAGCACTCCCCCAGTCCCCTCAGTCCTCATAGGACCCACCAGGTCCATGTGCACCACCTCCAATGGTGCCTTCGCTGATCCCTCCGCTCGTGGGAACGGGAACCGCGCAAACTTGTTTTGCATGCACGCCTCGCAGCTGCCATAGTGAGTGCCATCTCCTTGCAGTTGCAGCCCATGCACGCACTTCTCCTTGTGCATCACCTCCAATGTAGAAACAGCCACGTGTGCGAGCCGCCGATGCCAAGTCTCCCAATCCGCTTGGCCCGCGGTAGCCGACGCCTTCACCGCCGCGCTTCCTCCAATCAGCTCCTCTCCTTGCACACCTTGCTGCTCCTTCTCGGTAACGCTCTCCTCCATAGATGCCGCCATTGCCGCCTTGCCCGATTTCCGCCAAGGGAGGACCGGGATCTGCCACATCCGCTTGTGGACATCCCCTTTCCACTGCAGGTCCCAAATCAGCCGCTCATCGTTGTAGGCACGATAGCGCTCCGAGCCAATCGTCTCGGTGTTCACACCCGCATCTCCCAACCGGCCGGTAGAAATCAGGTTCGCGCACAAGTCCGGCACCCATAGCACGTTCTTCAGCCCCACGAGCTCTCCATCCGCTCCCATGAACTTGGCGCATCTCATGCCCATGACCTTGGCCTTAGCGCCCGTCGCGGATGTGACTGTAGAGATGGGTGCGGGCTGAATCTCATCAAGTAGGTCCGCACGAGGAGTCATGTGCCAAGAGCTCCCGGAGTCAATCACCCAATGGGTGAGGGGGTGTAGGAGAACCTTGGCAGCCATAGCGTGGTCGGTTGCGCCTTCGTTCACGAAGAAGAAAAACCCGGCCTTCCGCTCCTCAAATTTGCCGCCTTTCTCCTCATCCTTCTCCTCTCCACTAGCTCCCATTACTCCCCCACTCCTTGTGCCACCACGCTGGTTGCTTGATGAAGGCGGGGTCCAATCCTTGGGTCGTTGGTAGCACTTCCGCCAACGATGTCCGCGCTTCTTGCAGTAGAAGCACACCTCCCCTAGACCCCCGCCGCCATCCTCCTTAGGGTTATCCTTGTTCTTGCCCTTCCACTTCTTCTTGAAGCCACTCTTTCCACCTCCAACTCCATAGCCAGCCCCCTCCTCCGAGCGCTCCACACTCCGCCGCCGCAAGTCCTCCTCTAGGATGCGCGCGCGAATGTAATCCACGCTCCATAGGGGTTGTTGGGAGTTGAGGTTGATTGCTAGGGCAGACCATGACTCCGGCAGCCGTATCACGATCTCCACGCATTGCACGAGCTCCGGGTACACCATACCGCCTCCTTGGAGCTTCGTGAAGATGTCGCGCATCTCATCCAACACCGGTTGCATCGGCTCTCCATCAACGAACTTGATGTCGCGCAGCCGCCGCGCGAGTAGCACGATGCCGGTAGCATGTGTCGGTGAGTGCACATCCAGAAGCTTCCTCCAAGCCTTGGGGCCACACTCTGGATCACCCAAGAGGTCCTTGATGTGGTCAAGTTGCCGTCCGCCCACCGCTTGCACCATGAGCATGTACGCGTCGAACGATCGCTTCATCCAAGCTCCTTTCAGCTCCACGGCCTCCGGCATCTTCTCCTTTCCCTCCACCAAATCCAATAGCTTGTATTGGGTATACATCAGCCTCATGCGAAAACTCCAGTGCTCGTAGTCCTCCCCCATGAATTTCTCAATAGAGAAAGCTTTCACAGGATCCACGGTAGTAGGAGATGGTGTAGAAGAAGTAGGTAGCGTAGGGTTGGCTTGTTGGTGAGTCCCCACTCCTCCACCAGCAACTCCCCCTTGATCTCCAGCCTCTCTACTTCTATCCATCTCGCCACTAGCACCTCCGGAGTTCGTACCAACCATATTGAGGCTTTATGAACGGTGGAAACTTGAGAAATCGTTTGGAGAGAATTCTGCCAGAAATTTTGATTATACGAAAATCGCTGTCGCGGACTAAATACTTCGAATTGGAACGCGATTTGGCCACCAATCGAAAGTTAGCGAGCAGAGCTACTAGAAACTGGTCTCACTCGACATCATTGGTTGAGAATTGATGACGATTCGTCGTCTCAAAGTTGACTACCCGCTCTGATACCACTTGTTGTTCAGGATCCGTCACTTTGAGAGCTTACGACGAACTCATTACTCAACTAAACGCAAATCCGCTCGGTAGGAAGTTGCGCCTTATAATTAGCTACCATCTCCAAGTTGAATCAGTCATTAAGATGGTCTATTGAGTGAGAACGAAGTAAAAAACGTCCAGCAGCCGTATGACTAGAATGGTGGAGGAAGTACAAGCATTAGGGCATGGAAAGTTGGAGTTGGGAACCTCCAAGAGAACCATGAGAGGGAAGAGGTTTTCCAAGAGCTAGGGAAGGATGGTAAGAACCTTCCTAGCAGCAAGGATGCAACCCTCATCATGAGGTCCTTGAGGTGTCACATGCAAAATCCAATCTAGTTGGATTTTGCCTAGGTGTTGCAACATTTGCAACCCATGCTAGAAACTTCTAGCCACCCCAATCCAAAAGTCAAAGTTGGCTTTCTACCCACCCAACCAAAGATCCCTTTATAGTCATGTCCCAAGTAATCACCCAAATTAGATATAACCCCAAAAAGGTAATAAGAAATCCAAATCTTGGAAATATTGTAACTTGGGCAATCTTGGTCGGAATAAGGCGATCTTGGTATCGTTGGAAAGCTCTGGAATTCTCCTGCATGATCAAGCAGTTAGACTTGGAGAAAAACACAGAGATGAGAATATCCAACAGCCATGCACAATGACATACGCTCATGCAAATCATGCAAGCACAAATAGCACGAGCACTCGGCAGGACGTTAGGATGACATGCACTCAGAATGACGTGCATCCAACACCCACCGTGTGTTCAACCCACCGTGTGTTCAACGCACCGTGTGTTGAACCCACCGTGTGTTGAACCCACCGTGTGTTCAAACCACCGTGTGTTCCACCCACCGTGTGTCAACCCACCGTGTGTTCAACGCACCGTGTGTTCAACCCACCGTGTGTTCAACCTACCGTGTGTTCAACCCACCTTGAGTTCAACCCACCGTGTGTTCCACCCACCGTGTGTTCAACGCACCGTGTGTTGAACCCACCGTGTGTTCAACCCATTGTGTGATCAGCCCACCGTATGTTCAACCCACTATGTGTTCAACCCACCGTGTGTTCCACCCACCGTGTGTTCAACGCACCGTGTGTTGAACCCACCATGTTTTGAACCCACCGTGTGTTCAACACACCGTGTGTTCAACCCACCATGTGTTCCACCCACAGTGTGTTCAACCCACCGTGTGTTCAACGCACCGTGTGTTGAACCCACCGTGTGTTGAACCCACCGTATGTTCAACCCATCGTGTGTTCCACCCACCGTGTGTCAACCCACCGTGTGTTCAACCCACTGTGTAATCAACCCACCGTATGTTCCACCCACTGTGTGTTCAACGCACCGTGTGTTCAACCCACTGTGTGTTCAACCTACCGTGTGTTCAACCCACCGTGTGTTCAACCCACCGTGTGTTAAACCCACCGTGTGTTCAACCTATCGTGTGTGCAACCCACCGTGTGTTCCACCCACCGTGTGTTCCACCCACCCTTAGTCAACCCACCGTGTGTTCAACCCACCTTGTGTTCAATTTACTGTGTGTTCAACCCACCGTGTGTTTAACCCACCGTGTGTTCAACCTACCGTGTGTTCAACCCACCTTGTGTTCAACCCACCGCGTGTTCCACCCACCGTGTGTTCAACGCACCATTTGTTGAACCCACCGTGTGTTCAACCCACCGTTTGTTCAACCCACCATTTGTTCAACCCATCGTGTGTTCAACCCACTGTGTGTTCAACCGACCGTGTGTTCAACCTATCGTGTGTTCAACCCACCGTGTGTTCCACCCACCGTGTGATCAACCCACCGTGTGTTCAACCCGCCATGTGTTCAACCCACCGTGTGTTCCACCCACCGTGTGTTCAAAGCACCGTGTGTTGAACCCACCGTGTGCTCAACCCACCGTGTGTTCAACCCACCGTGTGTTAAACCTACCGTGTGTTCAACCCACCGTGTGTTCAACCCACTCTGTGTTCAACCCACCGTGTGTTAAACCCACCGTGTGTTAAACCCACCGTGTGTTACACCCACCGTGTGTTAAACCCACCGTGTGTTAAACTCACCGCGTGTTCAACCCACCGTGTGTTCAACCCACCGTGTGTTAAACCCACCGTGTGTTAAACCCACCGTGTGTTCAACCCACCGTGTGTTCCACCCACCATGTGATCAACCCACCGTGTGTTCAACCCACCTTGTGTTCAACGCAACGTGTGTTCAACCCACCGTGTGTTCAACCTATCATGTGTTCAACCCACCGCGTGTTCAACCCACAGTGTGTTCCTCCCAGTGTGTGATCAACCCACCGTGTGTACAACCGACCGTGTGTTCAACCCACCGTGTGTTCGACCCACCGTGTGTTCAACGCATCGTGTGTTGAACCCACCGTGTGTTGAACCCACCGTGTGTTCAACCCACCGTGTGTTCAACCCACCGTATGTTCAACCCACCGTGTGTTGAACCTCTCGTGTGTTCAACCCACCGTGTGTTCCACCCACCGTGTGATCAACCCACCGTGTGTTCAACCCACCATGTGTTCAACCCACCGTGTGTTCAACGCACCGTGTGTTGAACCCACCGTGTGTTGAACCCACGGTGTGTTCAACCCACCGTGTGTTCAACCCACTGTTTGTTCAACCCACCGTGTGTTCAACCCACCTTGTGTTCAACCCACCGTGTGTTCAACCTACCGTGTGTTCAACCCACCTTGTGTTCAACCCACCGTGTGTTCCACCCATTGTGTGTTCAACGCACCATGTGTTGAACCCACCGTGTGTTCAACCCACCGTGTGTTCAACCCAGCGTGTGTTCCACCCACCGTGTGTTCAACGCATCGTGTATTGAACCCACCGTGTGTTCAGCCCGCCGTGTGTTCAACCCACCGTGTGTTCAACCCACCGTGTGTTCAACCTATCGTGTGTTCAACCCACCGTGTGTTCCACCCACCTTCTGATCAACCCACCGTGTGTTCAACGCACCGTGTGTTGAACCCACCGTGTGTTCAACCCACCGTTTGTTCAACCCACCGTGTGTTCAACCCACCGTTTGTTCAACCCACCGTGTGTTGAACCCACCGTGTGTTCAACCCAATGTGTGTTCAACCTACCGTGTGTTCAACCCACCTTGTGTTCAACCCACCGTGTGTTCCACCCACCGTGGGTTCAACCCACCGTGTGTTAAACCCACCGTGTGTTGAACCCACCGTGTGATCAGCCCACCGTATGTTCAACCCACCGTGTGTTCAACCCACCGTGTGTTCAACGCACCGTGTTTTGAACCCACCATGTTTTGAACCCACCGTGTGTTCAACCCACCGTGTGTTCAACCCACCATGTGTTCCACCCACCGTGTGTTCAACGCACCGTGAGTTGAACCCACCGTGTGTTGAACCCACCGTGTGTTCAACCCACTGTGTGTTCAACCCACCGTGTGATCAACCCACCGTGTGTTCAACCCACTGTGTGTTCAACCCACCGTGTGTTCCACCCACCGTGTGTTCCACCCACCGTGTGTTCAACGCACCGTGAGTTGAACCCATTATGAGTTGAACCCACCGTGTGTTCAACCCACCGTGTGTTCCACCCACCGTGTGATCAACCCTTCGTGTGTTCAACCCACTGTGTGTTCAACCCACCGTGTGCTCCACCCACCGTGTGTTCAACGCACCGTGTGTTCAACCCACCGTGTGTTCAACCTACCGTGTGTTCAACCCACCGTCTGTTCAAACCACCGTGTGTTCAACCCACCGTGTGTTCAACTTATCGTGTGTTCAACCCACCGTGTGTTCAACCCACCGTGTGTTCCACCCACCGTGTGATCAACCTACCGTGTGTTCAACCCACCATGTGTTCAACCCATCGTGTGTTCAACGCACCGTGTGTTGAACCCACCGTGTGTTAAACCCACCGTGTGTTCAACACACCGTGTGTTCAACCCACCGTTTGTTCAACCCACCGTGTGTTCAACCCACCTTGTGTTCAACCCACTGTGTGTTCAACCTACCGTGTGTTCAACCCACCTTGTGTTCAACCCACCGTGTGTTCCACCCACCGTGTGTTCAACGCACCGTGTGTTGAACCCACCGTGTGTTCAACCCATCGTGTGTTCAACCCACCGTGTGTTCCACCCACCGTGTGTTCAACGCATCGTGTGTTGAACCCACTGTGTGTTCAACCCGCTGTGTGCTCAACCCACCGTGTGTTCAACCCACCGTGTGTTCAACCTATCGTGTGTTCAACCCACCGTGTGTTCCACCCACCTTCTGATCAACCCACCGTGTGTTCCTCTCTTGAATTCAGCACAGTTTTCCTGCAGGGCAGCCTTCACGAGGAGATCTGGCTGCGCCGCCCTCCTGGCTTCACTGGGTCATTTCCCCCTGGTACCCAGTGGAGCCTCCGGCGGCCAGCCTACGGTCTCTACCAGGCTCCCCGAGAGTGGCACGACACTTTGAGAACTACGCTTGCGGCTCTTGGGTTTGCTCCTTCTACAGCCGACTCGTCGCTGTTTCTGCGCACCGACACCTCTCTGCTGCCGTTCTACATCCTCGTGTACGTCGACGACTTGGTCTTTGCCACTGCTGACAGTGCTGGACTCTCCCACATGAAGTCCGAGCTGCAAAAGAGACACACGTGCACAGACCTGGGTGAGCTGCGCAGCTACCTTGGCTTGCAGATCACCCGGGACAGAGCACAGCGCACCATTACCCTGACTCAGTCACACATGGTGCAGCAGGTCCTTCAGCGCTTCGGCTTCACGTACTCCTCGCCTCAGGCCACTCCTCTGTCTACTTGCCACTCGCTCTCAGCTCTGCCTTCGGATGAGTCCGTAGAGTCGAGTGGCCCGTACCCAGAGCTTGTTGGCTGCCTCATGTACCTGATGACCTGCACACGACCTGACCTTGCTTACCCTCTTAGCATCTTGGCACGCTATGTTTCTCCTGGGAGACACAGACCAGAGCACATGGCTGCAGCGAAGAGGGTGTTGCACTACGTGTGCAGTACGTCGGGCATGGGGCTAGTGCTTGGAGGGCGACGTCGAGTAGTCCTCACAGGTCACGCTGACGCTTCTTGGGCTGACGACCAGGTTCTGCAACGGTCGTCACAGGGTTACACCTTCAGCCTTGGCTCCGGCTCTGTTTGGTGGCGGTCTACCCGCTCGTCTTCTGTTCTCAGCTCCAGTTGTGAGGCTGAGATCTACGCAGGGGCCATGGCTGCACAGGAGCTACGTTGGCTCACCTACCTGGTCACTGACCTAGGAGAGCCGCATCGTTCTCCTCCAGTTCTGTACGTAGACAACAAGGCCATGCTGGCCTTGTGTTGGGAGCACAGACTGGAGCACAGAACGAAGCACATTGCTCTCCGCTACTTCCTGGCTAGTGAGCTGCAGCAGCGTGGCCAGCTCCGCCTCACCTACTTGGCCTCTGAGGCCAACACTGCTGATATCTTCACCAAGGCCCTTCCGCCTTGTGATCATCAGCGCTTCTGTACTTTGCTAGGTCTTGTGCTTGCCTGGCCTCACTTGCTCACTTCTTGATCTTGCTTGTACTCTACTCTTTCTATACCTGCACTTGCTTGTTTACCTTTATATATGTTCTTTCCTGTGAACTGGCCTTGTGGCCTCACTCTTGTGGTCGGACTGTGTGGTGACTTTGTGATCCACCCTAAGCTTGCTTTGCTTTGCTTGACTGGTCTTGTGACCGCTTGTGCTCCCCCACTTAGCCTATGGGGGTGTGTCAGAACATTATAGCTTATACATTTGTGTAGGCTGTAGTGGGGTAGCCCATAAGGGGTACAACCCAATTAGGGTTAGTACTTGTACCCAACTGTATCATAGTTCATTCATCCATTCTCATTTCTCGTCATGTCGCGCAATTCGCGACAGCGACTGATATACGCCATCCCTTTTTCCCCTGGTTTCATTTCAACTGTTGTCAGTTGCGCCATTTGTCGACTCTGACTTACGCTGTGTGTTGCTTGGTACAAGCTTTTCAAGTGGCTGTATGCGAGCTCGGCGGATTTGCCGTATCTCCGGTAAGACTGTATATTCTGTTGCTGAGTCGGGGTGATATTCCTCAGTAGGATTGTGTACGCCATCATTGACTGATAGGTGTACTGCTGCTTCTCGTACTGTGTACCGTTTGTTGGGTATGGCAGGGATCCGGCGAAGAAGCCGAGGATTTGCGCGCCTTCCATCATCAGCTCGAACTCGAATGACCAGGTAAAGAAGTCCTTTCCGTCGAAAGGTCTTGACGTCTGCAACTTCAGGACGTGCGCGAACTGCGACTGAACTTGTAGCGCGTCCAGTGTCTTCTCTTGTCCAGGTGCAGGCTGCGGTTGTGGCATAAAGCTGACGGAGCCGCGCTGGGGCTCGTACGGAGCAAAGGTGGGTTGCTCCAGTTGATTTCCATGTGCGTAGGATGAACCATCAAGGCTCATTGGAGTCACATCGTTGTTGTTGTTGCTATTGTGTGACTGCGCAGGTGTCGATTGCTGGTGTTGCTCGTAGAAGGACATGAAGGAGAAAAACTTCTCCATCATGCTCCGGTCGAAGCCTGCAGGTTGATTTGCGGTAGTCTCGGTGGATGTTGCCCGGGGTCTTGTTGCCGTACCCTCCTCTGTCTGTAGGCCAGAGGCAGGAGGTGGAGTAGGAGTAGTGCCGGGAGAACCAATAGAGGAACTCCTTTCCTTCTGTGTTCATGTTTTCTGATGTTGTAGGTGTCTTGATAGTTGAATTCCTCCTGATAGCTCTCATACCATGTTGGGCTGAGAAAATAGCCCTCAGGATCTTTGCAGGGGTGAACTCTGGGTATAGCTGATGTAGTAGCGGAAGCGTTTAATGAAGAGTTGTGAACCGCCTTGCGCTAGTATGTGAGGGCAAAGTAGATAGATTAAAGCAAAGAGATACAAGATTATATATGAGTACAGGGAATATGAAAAGACAGTGTTCTAACTACTTTATTGTTGCTGTTGCGATTCGATACAGTGACGACTCGGGCAACTGCTCAGTAACGAGTCAGTTATGTATCCTTGCTGTCGCGCTGTACTTGTGAGGCCAAAGGTCGCCGACCTTTGACTTTCGCGTAACCTCCGACAGTTACTTCAACCTCCAAGGGTTGACTCGCTGGTGCTTCGATAGTGTTTTGCTTCGCTTGTGTCTTGGAGTTTCGACACGACAGAGGCGCTTAGAGTTAATTGCTTCCAACACCCCCTAGCCCCATCATTGCGTAATACTATATAAACCCAACCTCGGAGCCAGTTCCGTCACGCATCCCACAATTCGCTCGTTACCACTACCACGCTAGTTCGCTATCTAGCATTCGCTCATTATTTCGCTCAATCTACTGTTTTTGCTTCAATAGTGCAATATTCGTTCACTCACTCATTTACACCCATAACAACAGTGAACAACCAAAGTTTTCTATATATATGATCACATTCTATTAAATAACAGAATGTACCAAGTATCCTCGTCAAGATCGGGGTCCTGTTTCGTTTTGCCGCGCCTGTGCACTGAGGTAACGAAAATTTGTGGAGACTACAAAGCTCGAGTCCCGTCTTCCATAGTGCCTCGCCTCTACTAATTAAGACAGCGGCAAACACTGGTAGCACGATCGCGCACGCGTCGTCCATGTTCCCGCCACTGTCCGCATAAACATTCCGCGGCCTTATCAGGCTAACCTTAGCGCGGTGCTGGCTCGCATGGCGCGGCTGCCAAACCTGGTGCTGCCGTGGGTGCCGAGTCCGAACGAGCGAGGGTCGTCGAGCGACCTGCCCACTCCCGAGATTCGAGACGACGTGCTGCGAGCCAGGGTGAAGGAAGGTGCGCGTGGGAATGGGCGTGTAGGAAATGCGTATCCGATCCACGCCAACACTGGATTGCAAATCACATCGTTGCGTTCCACCAACCTGCTTCGTCCTGCTGCTAAGATCGCCCCGGATCGCTCGTTCTTGACTCATTGCTGCCAACGCGGCTGCCTCCACGCGCGTGGAAGCGGCGCGTGGCCGCTGCCTTGCCGCCACGGCCCACCTCCTCTCCGTCAACCGACCTCTCTCTTCTCCCGCTCCCCTACCTTCTTCCCCACCGCTGCGCTCCCCTCTCCCTACTTTCCCCCACCCCCGTTGCGTTCCCCCCTCCCTGCTTCTCTCCCCCGCGCTGCGCTCCACCCTGCCTGTCTTGCCCCTCGCGGCGTGCGCGAGCAGCGCAGCAGACGGCGGCGAGTGCGCGCGTGGGGTGGGCGGTGCTGCACGTGGTGGTGCCGGCGGCGCTGCTGCTGCTCAACACGTCGCTCGCGCAGGCCCTAGTGCAGCAGCCTGTGGGGTGCGTGCGTGGTAACCATCAGGTGTGAAATGTGGTGTGTGGTATCCACAGCATCTGGTGTGTGCGTGGTCAACACAGCAGATTACAGGATAACCACTGCAGCTGGAAGGTAACCACTGCAGCTGGAAGGTAACCACTGCAGCTGGAAGGTAACCACTGCAGCTGGCACGTGGTGGCTTTCATGTGCGGTATGTGGTAACCAGAGAGTGGTCGCTCACCATGCAGGCGTGCCACTGTCTGGAATGCAACGCGCATCATCTCATCATCCTCACCCCATTAACCTTCCCTCTTCCCACACCCTCCCGCCATCCCCCGTCTTGCCCCGCACTGCGCAGGGCGGAAGCGGTGTGCTACGGGGTGCTCTTCCTCGCCACGCTGCTGCAGTACCTCTACACCTCCGGCTCCTCGCCTGGGTGCGTGCGCTCTCCCCTGCTCTTCTCCGTTCTCTTCTCCGCTGCTCCGGTCTTCTCTGCTCTTCGTGCATGATCCAAGCCCCGTGCATGATCCAAGCCCCGTGCATGATCCAAGCCCCGTGCATGAGCCAAGCCCCGTGCATGATCCAAGCCCCGTGCATGATCCAAGCCCCGTGCATGATCCAAGCCCCGTGCATGAGCCAAGCTCCGTGCATGATCCAAGCCCCGTGCATGATCCAAGCCCCGTGCATGATCCAAGCCCCGTGCATGACCCCATTGCATGTGCGTTCTCTCCTGTTCCTCCGTTTTACTTTCCTGCCCCATTGCACGTGCATGGCATATGAATGGCGTATGAATGGCATGTGGATTCATCTGAGAGAATTGTGCATGGCATGTGAATGATATGCGAGTGGCATGTGAATGCCATGCCAATGTGTGAATGGCACGTTACTGTATGAATGCCATGCAAGTGGTGTGCATGCATACTGGCCGGCAGGTACGTGCAGGATGTGGCTGACAGCATGCAGGCAGCCGTGGCAGCAGCCAATGCACGCCATGTCGCCACACACGCCGTGCCACCGCCTTCACCAGCGTCCCCCGCTCCTACTGTGTCTCTTCCGCAAGCAGAGGCAGTGCCTGCACCGCCACAGGCAGGACGAGCAGCTTCACCCGCCAACTCGATTTCAGCTGCAGTTGCAGTGGCAGCACAAGTGGCAGCAGCAATGGCAGCAGCAACACCACAGGGGGCAGGGGAGGTTGAAGTGAAGGGCGACACAGAGGATGGGGTTAGTGAAGCAGAGGAGGAGTGCGATGGGGCAGTGGATGGGGTGGGCGTGAAAGGGGGTGAGAGTGCATTGCTGGATGGGGTGAAGGATGAGACGAGCAGGGATGACGCTTCCCTTGCTGCAGCCCCCTCCTCCCATGCATCCCATCCGTCCCAACCATCGCACTCGTCCCATTCATCTCTCACCTCCTCCAGATGGTCCACTCCACCCGACTCCTCCCTCCCACATGCCGCCCCACCCTCTCCCTCGCCCTCGCCCTCACCCTCTGCGTCCGACGCGCTCCGCCTGTCACACGCCCGCAGGGCAGCAGCAGGCGAGTCTGCTGTCCTCCCCGGCCTCCTCACTCCTCTCCTCGCCTCACCCCACCCCTCTGCACCACGGGCTGTGCGCCAGTCCTCCCCATCCTGCGTGGTGGTGCCCCTGCCCCCTCCCAGGGGGAAAGGGGGTGGCGAGGGGGGCAGGGGGGAGTCTGGTCTGCACTCTCAACCCCTTCCGCTTGCTCCCAGTGCTGAGCGCGCCCATGGCCCCTGGGCCCTGCTCGCCCCCTGCCTGCCCGGCTGCCGGTGGTGCGGGCACGTGGGGTGCAGGTGGTGCGGGGACAGGGGGTGCCGCTGGTGTGGTGATGGGGCGGATGCACCGTGCGATGACGTAGAGAGAGGGGCGGAGGCTGCAGAGGGAGAGTGGGAGGGACGTAGCTGCTGTGGGGCACGGGCGTGGGGTGCTGCGAGGGTGGGAAATAAGGGTGATGGGGGAGAAGAGGGGGAGGGAGGGGGTGTTGAAGGGAGGGAAGGAGGGGCAAGATTGTTGCTGCTGCCCCTGCCAGCACAGCCATCTCGACTCACAGCAGCGCAGTCAAATTTCCTCGTCTCCCAATTCAGGTCTCCCCACCACTCCCTCCCTCTCGCGCACACCACGTCATCTCTCTCTTGCCTCCTGCGCTGCATCTCTTGCAACCCCCCATCTCTCTGCAATAGCTTCCGACACTCTCTCCTGCCCATGGTAGTGCCTACCTCAAGTTCCTCCCTCCACTCCCCCCCCCACCTTCTCAATCCCAGCAGTGCGCGGCGGTGGTGCCCGTACTGCCGAGTGCAGCAACCAGTGCGCGCCAAGCACTGCTACGACTGCGGCCGCTGTGTGCTGCGCTTCGATCACCACTGCTTCTGGGTCTCCACATGCATCGGCCTGCGCAACCATGCGCGCTTCTGGTAACCACGCTCGCTTCTGGTAACCACGCTCGCTTCTGGTAACCACGCTCGCTTCTGGTAACCACGCTCGCTTCTGGTAACCACGCTCGCTTCTGGTAACCACGCTCGCTTCTGGTAACCACGCGCGCTTCTGGTAACCACGCGCGCTTCTGGTAACCACGCTCCCCCCTGCTACCTGTTTCTGATGTGCATGAGGTTAAGCTATTAGGCTGTGGTAGCTCTCCCACACATAACGGAATAAACCACTTTCACTTGACCACAATCAATTGCTCTATTGCGTTTGTCCCCTCCTCCACCCCCCTGCTCCCACGCCCTTATACCATTTCCTCTTACCACCCCCTGGCATGGCACGGCACGGCATGGCGGAGCAGGGTGTACCTGGTGTTGGAGTGCTGCCTCACGTGCTGGTCGCTGCTCATCTGCCTCTCCGCCTTCACCGCCCCCATCTCACCCAACCACTGGTCCGTCCCTCCTGCCCCATCCCTGCCTCACCTCCCCTCACGCCCACCTCACCCCGTCCACGGCATGCCAACCACCTCTCTCTCACCCCCTTCTTCCGTGTGCCCTCCCCCATCGCCATCCATGCACCACCTTCCATGTCCCCCTCCACTGTCCACCCCCTCCCCACCGGGCACCAGGCTGGAGCACCAGCTGTCAGCGCTGGCGTTCACGGCGCTGCTGCTGCCGCTCGCCGTGTTCCTCGCCATCCTCGTGTGCTTCCACACGTGAGTCACGTCCCTCCGCCACTCGTGAGTCGCTCTGCCACACATCAGTCCCTCCGCCACTCGTGAGTCGCTCTGCCACACATCAGTCCCTCCGCCACTCGTGAGTCGACTCTCTCTGCCACTCGTGAGTCAAGTCACTCTGCCACTCGTGAGTCAAGTCACTCTGCCACACGTGAGTCAAGTCACTCTGCCACTCGTGAGTCAAGTCACTCTGCCACACGTGAGTCAAGTCACTCTGCCACTCGTGAGTCAAGCCACTCTGCCACACGTGAGTCAAGTCACTCTGCCACTCGTGAGTCAAGTCACTCTGCCACTCGTGAGTCAAGTCACTCTGCCACACGTGAGTCAAGTCACTCTGCCACTCGTGAGTCAAGTCACTCTGCCACACGTGAGTCAAGTCACTCTGCCACTCGTGAGTCAAGTCCCTCTGCCACTCGTGAGTCAAGTCACTCTGCCACACGTGAGTCAAGTCACTCTGCCACACGTCAGTCCCTCTGCCATCCACTCGTGACTCGCTGACTTGATCTGCATGTCTCATGTCTATACGACTCTCCCCTCTCTGTGGCTGACTGCGTGTCTTGCCATGCTATGCCATGCGAGGTCATGTTACGCCATGCCATGCCGTGCTTTGCCATGCAGGCACCTTATTCTCACGGCACAGACAACATATGAAGCCACCAGGAAGCATCGCATCTCCTATCTGCGGTGCGTTGTGTATGCCAGGCACATTCATTGACATGCCGGGCACATGCATTGACATGCCAGGCACATGCCTTGACATGCCGGGCACATGCATTGACATGCCAGGCACATGCCTTGACATACCAGGCACATGCATTGACATACCAGTCACATGCATTGACATACCATGCACATGCATTGACATACCATGCACATACCTTCACGTCCCAGGCACATGCGTTCACATGCCAGGCACCTGCATTGACGTGCGACATGCCAGGCACATTCCTGTCCGCCGACGCATCACTGAGTGCGCACTCCCCGTCCATCGCTGCGTGCTGCACCACACTGCAGGTCGGTACCCGGGGACGTCCATCCGTTCAGCCAGGGCGCCTGCCGCAATGTGCTGCATCTGTGCTGCCTCAGTCGCCATGTGCTGCCGATTTATGCCGTCCCATCGCCAGCCGTGCTGCACGCCATGGCCTCTGGGGCATACACCACTCGCTCACGGACGTGGGGGCCGTGTTGCTCCTGATGCGATGCCCGCTCCTCCATCAGGGACCCCGCCTGTACCATAGCTCCGTTTTAGTTCAGTTCTTATTGTCCTGCTGCATGGGAGTGTGCATCAGGCTTCTTTGGATGGTGACTAATGGCATATGCCATACCATGCTTTCCTCATTTCAAGAGCTCAACGCAACGCTTGCCACTTGTCATGTAATACTGTTTTCTTCTATTCAACTGGCATCAAGCCGTACACTAGTCGTCCCAGCTTGTTACACGCAGAAGCAATGATACAGAAGATTTTGTTGGGCTGAAAAAGGCCCTTACGATCTTTGTAGGACTAAATTCAAGGTAGGATGATGTAATAGAGGAAGCGTTTAATAAAGACTTGTGAACCACCTTGCGCTAGTATGTGAGGGCAAAGTAAGTTGATTAAAACAAGCAAGTACAAAGGTTTATATAAGAGTACAAGGAATACGAAGAGATACAATTAATAACTGCTTTGCTGTTTGCTGTTGCGGTTCGATACAGTGCGACTCTGGCAACTGTTCAATATCGAGTCAGTTGTGTGTCCTTGCTGTCGCGCTGACCTTTGACTTTCTCGTAACCTCCAACTGTTGTTTCAACCTCCGAGGGTTGACTCGCCGATGCTTCGATATGTTCTGCTTCGCTTCTGACTTGGTGTTTCGACACGACAGAGGCGCATTTAGATTACTTGTTCCCAACACTCCCCTTCGCTTCTGGAGTGTCGCTGCTGGTGACGTGGCTCTGTCCAGTCAGCAGCATGCAGTACTCGAACTTCTGCTTTCCGAGCTTCTTGGTCAAGTAATCAGCTGCCATCTCGGACGTGGGGCAATAGGATAATTCAAGTCTCCCCTTTTCGATCTCGTCTTTCACGAAGAAATATCGCAGGGCGATATGCTTCGTTCTGTTCGAGAATCCGTTTTTGTTGGCGATGCGAATTGCAGATTGGTTGTCGCAGAACAGAGTGAAGCTGGGTAACTGAGCCAGCTTCGCTTCCTCCAAGAGTTCGCGAAGGTACAATCCTTCCTTGGTGGCTGAACAGAGTGCGATATATTCTGCTTCAGCTGAGGAGAGAGCGATTAATTCCTGCTTGCTCGACTGCCACGCGATAGGTTCGAGACGGTAGATGTAGCCTGTGCGCGAGCGTCTGTTGTCAGAATCTCCAGCGTGATTGGCGTCGACGTAGCCGATTAGCTTAGGCGTTGTAGTTCCGTTCTTGTAGTAGGTCAGGCCGATCGTTGGTGTACTGACGAGGTAGTGAAGAGCGCGGTCGAGCTCCGCCATGTGTTCAGCTTCAGGCCTTTTAATGTAGGTGGCGAGTTGACTTGCAGAGTACGATAGGTCCGGGAAGCAGGTGACAGCTGCGAAGAGAAGGCATCCCAGCTTCCTCTGGTAGTCGCGTATCCCGGCAGGCTTGAGGGGAGTCCTGCCGTGTAGCGATATGGCGTGGAGATGGTAGTTGGCGTGAGTGCGAAGCGTTTAGCGATGGTGTCGGCGTATTTAGCGGCGTTGAGGTAGATCGCGCCTCTTCTTCCCGGATGTTCAGATCGAGGTACTGTGTGACGGTAGAGGAGACCGTGAGCGTGATATCCTTCTGTAACTCCCCTTCGAACCAGGTGGTGATGCCGTCGGCGGAGCCGATGTAGAGCAAGTCATCTACGTAAACAATGAGCAGGATGTAATCGGTGCCTTTTGTAAACCGGTACATTCCTTGGTCGTGAGGTAGCTGGCGGAACTCGATGCGGACGAGCCTGGCGTGTAGGTACTGTTGCCATAGCCTCGGGGCTTGTTTGATGCCGTAGAGCGACTTCAGTAGCTGACAGACTTGTTTAGGCTCTCCGTTGGAGCCGTGTGGGAGCTCGACGAAGATCTCCACGTCGACAGGTGCGTAGAGGAACGCGTTGGCGACATCGATCTGTCGTAGCTTCTTCTTTTTCATGGCGGCGATCGCGAGGAGGATTCAAAGTGAGGTGTGTCGGCTGACCGGTGCGAATGTCTTGGTGAAGTCCCGTCCGTGCTCCTGATCGAATCCACGCACAACCCAGAGTGCTTTGAACTTCTCAATTGTGCCATCTGCTTTCGTTTTAACGCGGAAGACCTATTTCCTGGTGAGAATGGTCTTGTTTCTTGCCATGCTGATGAGAACGACTTTCCATGTGTTCCGTTCCTCCAGTGCTTTTAACTCTCTGTCCATGGCTTCACGCCATTTCTCCCTATGTTCCCCCCCCAGAGCCTGCTGAATTGTCGCAGGCTCCTTAGGAAGAGCCGTGCCGTGGACTGCGGTGACGAGGCCGAGAATTTGCAGTCCACTCTGTGAGTAGCGGGGGAGATTTGCGTCGTCGGGATAAGCTGCTTCATCTCCCGCTTCTGGATCATGTATAAAATTTGGCCCTACTCGTTCTGCTTCGTTGGTGTTGACTGTCGCAGGTGTTACGTAACCGTTGTCGGCGAAATAGTAGAAGGTTTCGGCGTTGACACTTTCGCGAGGGTTATCTTCGTCCATGGGAACATCGACGGAGCAGAACGGAAGAGGCCCAGCTTCTTCTTATGCGTTGTCCACATTCTGCTCGTCCCAGTCAGCTTCGTCCGCTGCCGAGGCGAAGGCTCGGTCGCCACGAAAACCACCTGTGGGATCTTGGTGTCAGAGGTCCACTGGTGATCCCCGATTGATCCTAGGGAAGGGTTACAGGCACGTTGGCCTGGAGGGTTATGGGCGCACTGACCCGCTACTTAACAAGCCCTTTTATCCCAATGGTTAGTGGTTGGAATTCTGACATGTTATCAGAGCGAAGGTCTCGCGTTCGAATCCCGGTGTATGCACTTCGGGCATCCCAGTGCGGGGGGGTGTCAGAGGTCCACTGGTGATCCCCGATTGATCCTAGGGGAGGGTTACAAGCACGTTGGCCTGCGGGGTTATGGGCGCACTGACCCCGCTACTTAACAAGCCCTTTTATCCCAATGGTTGGTGGTTGGGATTCTGACACTTGGTCTTCTTGCAGGTTGGCAAGGTATGTCTGGAGCGTGAGTCGTTCGTAGAAAATTACATCACGTGCTGCTACTGTTTCCTTGGAGTGGATGTCGAAGATTTTCCACGCGTTGTAGTTCTTTTCGATGCCCAGGTGTAATCCCCACTGTGCGCGTTGAGAAAATCGGCCTGCTCGTGCTGCTGGGGGTCGGTACTGTACCATGCATCCAAAAACTCGTAACATTTTTGTGTTGCCCTGTTTCCCTGTCCACAGCAGATGTGGTGATGCGTTGTTTGGAAGCGATGATGACGAGAGCAAGTTGTGCAGCATGATGGCGTGGTCCATTGCCTCAGACCACTGGTGATTGGGTAGCCGCATGCCACGTAACAGCATGCGCATGCTGTTATGCAGGGTCTTGTTCATTCTTTCTGCTACACCTTGCTGTTGATGGGCGTAGGGAAGGGAGATGAGTCGCTTGATTCCCCTTTCCGCCAGGTACAGCTTGAATCACTGAGAGGTGTATTCTCCTCCTCCGTCTGACTGGAAGCTTTTCAGCTTCACGCCCGATTCTCTCTCTGCTACTGGTAGCCAGGCAACGAAGGCTTCGAAGGCCATGTCGCGGCTAGGAAGGTTTAGGTGCCAGACGTAGCGGGTGGCGGCGTCGATGAAGGTGATCGTAAAATTGTATGCTCCTTGTCCTGGTTCCCGGTTGTACAGGATGTCGCTGTACACCTTCTCGAGTGGTGCGTAAGCAGGTGCGCTCGGGTTGTGATGAGAAGTGAACGGCTGATGTGGTAAGTCGGCCTCGGGGCAGGTAAGACATGTTCCTCGT